TTCTTGTAAGGATCTATGAGCTCGGTTATGTTCTGTAAATATTACTTCAAATTGATCATCCTTATTAAGTAAGTCGATGACATGTTTTTCTGCGTGAATTAATTTAATACCCGGAAATGCTGTGATAAGATCATTTTGAAATTTTGCCAATGTTGGCAAGTCGCAACAAATAGCATTAGTTACATTAGGATTTATGGTTACCTTGAAACAATTCATCAGATTTTCTATAGTATCGTAATTTATTGTGTGACGAATAAATTTTTTAAATAAAATTTTTGTATTTTTAGTGAAGGTCTCGGTTTTCCCTATAATCAATTGATTTTTGAATTGGTTTACAGGATACTGTATTGTTTTTATGGGTTAGAAAGTGATATTTCACTATGGATGATTTGGCCATCGGACGAAATTTGGTTGACATATTGTCTTGAGAGTGCATCTGCCACTTTATTTACTTTTCCTGGTTTATAAAAGAATTTTGGTGCGAATTTTTCAACAAAAGCGCGCCACCGTTTTATCTTTGAATTTGGATTTTTATCCGATATAGAGAATATAAGTGGTTGATGGTCTGTGAATATTTTTATATTTTTGACGGAATGCTTGAAGAGCCCAAACTACTGCGAGAAGCTCTCGCTCGTTTGTAGCATAGTTTCCCTCACTCTTGGATACAGTTCTAGACATCATTGTTATAGGCTTACCGTTTTGAGATAATACTGCTCCCAAAGCAACAGATGAAGCATCAGTTGTTAACTCAAAAGCCTTGCTATAATCGGGATGTTGAAGGAGAACATCTTCTGACGCTAAAATGTTTTTTAATTTTTCGAATGCATCCCTAGCTTCACAATCAAATGTTATTTTAGTTTGTTTTGAATATCTCGTACCTATGTGACCATTTTCAACACGAAGATATTTTGTTAGGGGTTTAGCTAGTCTGGCATAGTCCCTAATAAATTTTCTATAATACCCAGACAAACCCAAAAAACGAGCGTAGCGCTCTCAACGTCGTAGGCATTTTATAGTTAAGAATAATCTAAACTTTTTCTGGACATGTTTTTATGCCCTCTTCAGTAACAACACAACCCAGAAACTCTACAGTTTTTTTAAAGAATTTTGATTTTTCTGAAGAAACTCGCATTCCCGCTTGTTCAAGTTTTTTTAATATCCTGTCCACATGTTCGATATGAAGTTTTTCATTAGGTGAATAAATAATTATGTCATCCATGTAAACGTGACATATGTTCCTTATATCTTCTCGCAGGATATCATCTATTGCTCTTTGGAATATACTAGGGGCATTCTTTAGCCCAAATGGCGAGCGACAAAATTCATATTTGCCATTATTAACACTAAATGCTGTCTTTTGCCTATCGTTTTCCGCGAGGATAATCTGGTGAAAGCCAGATTTTAAATCTAATGTCGTAAATATATTTAATTTCCCTAAGTTCGCGAGTATAACTGAGGTGTCTGGTATCGGGTATCTATCCGATATAGTTTTTTCATTAAGTTTTCTAAAATCAATCACCATTCTTTGTTTTTGCTTGCCATCATTATCGAGGCTCTTTTTGCTAACAACATGAATAGGTGAGTTATATGGAGAACATGACTTCTGAATTATGCCATCTTCTAATAAGGATTTAATTTCTTTTTTTATAAATTCAGCGGCTGACATGGGGTATGGATAACCCCTGGTATAAATAGGATCATCAGTAAGCTATTTAATTGTTGCTTTAACATTTGTATTATAAGGCAAAGCCCGATTAGGGTCTGCAAAAGCATTTTTATTATTTGCAATTTTATCACCTAATGCGGGTATTAATTGATTGGGAAAGGAATTTTGTTTATCTGTTGAATTTACTTGTTCGCACGTTAAATGGTTAAGTATATCTTTTCCTTTTTTGTGAAAAAGAACATCATTTTTTGTATCGATTTTTCCTTCTATTGCTTTGAGGAAATCATAGCCAATGATTCCGTCAAAACTACTTAGGGCTGGTAATATGTAAAAAATTGTGGTTTTGCCAAAAATATTTATCTCGCAAAATTTAGTAATCTTATTTGTTCCATTGATAGATTTAACAAGGAACGGAACATCAAGAAGCCTAATACCCTTTAGAAAATTGTGATTTTTAAAATAATTTTTCGAAATTCCCGTGTCAATCAATATGCGAAGCTCCTTGCCATCTGGATTTCGTCGCGCGATAAATGGCAGGAGCGAGTTTACCCTAAAAAATTAACATCATCTGAAATTTCACCAGAAGGGTCGTAATCTACATGATCAGAATTCTGCTGATGTGCATTAGCATTAATTTTCTGTAATTTTTGGGCTGGTGAACGATTTGAGTTATTACCCTCATATTGCCGTTTCTGTATGTGATTGCCTGAGTAATTCTGTAGTTGTATCATGTTTGGCCGTCTAAAATAGGAAGTACCAGGGTCCACCTCCATAGGTATTGGTATGTTACCTTGGTGATTTAGTGTATTTTGTTGTGCAGCCTGAGATTCATTGTATCGAGAATTAATTTGTCTGTTAGGCCAATAATTTTTCTGATAGTTGGGGTGGGGGCTACGCTGAGCCACTTCCCGAAAATTTCTAACTCTAACATTTTTCGCAACAGCAAACGCATTTGCAAAATCGTACCTTTGATGACTTTGTTTTAACTCCTGTGCGGTTGCAAGTGCTATTGGAAGATCTGGAGGGTGTGACGAAAACAAAATGTCACAAATTGAGCGTCGAAGACCCGAAATGAAGACACGAAGTGCATTTTCTCTTGCTCGGTC